TTAAATTTGATTTTATTGATAAATACTTTCGTTTAGTAAGTGCCGCGTTGTAATTAAGTTGAGAATATTTATAAACGGAGTTTTCGAGAAGACGTTTTCCCTCTTTTAGTAGTTTGTTTATTCTTTTACCGTATATTTGAATAATCTTAAATAGCATCCTGTCCTTGTTTGAACGGGCTCGTGATGACGATCAGTTCACCCTTGGAGTAGGTGCTATCCGCGTTATAATTTTTTTTAGTTAATCTGTATACCGCAAATAATTTTAAATAGTATCCTGTCCTGTTTGAACGGGCTCGTGATGACGATCAGTTCACTCTTGGAGTAAGTACTATCCGCGTTAGTAATTTTCTTCCCTCCGATAATAATTTGTTTTTTTCTTTTACCGTCAATTTAAATAACTTTAAATAGTATCATGTCCCTGTCTGAACGGGCTCGTGATGACGATCAGTTCATTCTTGGACTAGGTGCTATCCGCGTTTGTTTTCTTTTCCCCTTTATATTCTTCATTTTTTTTCGTGCAAACTGCAACTTGCAGAAATCAAAAATAGCTTCATTACCCTGTCTGAGCAGGCTCGTGATGACGATCAGCTCATTCTGGGATAATAGGCTACCCCGGGTATACATTTATTTTTATCTTCTTTCCGTATATTTTTTTTTCTCCTGGGCTCGTCTGACTATGTGTCTCCGAATAACACTGAAGCCTATTGGCTTATTGTGTTTTACCCCATGTTGGTTCATAGCACCCACTCTATCACCTTTGTACCTTGTACAAGTTTGTACAGATCCTTGGGTGAGTGGGTTCTATACGTTGTTGGATCAACCTGGGGTTGTCCAAAAAGAGCCTGTCTTTTGCGATCTAGAGCTTCGCATTCGCACAGTATGTGTTTGGCCGTTTCTGGTTTCTTGTGACATAGTCGGCACATAAGTTCCCCATTGTACATGCCAATTTTGTTCAAGTGTCCCTTTACTGGGGCATGCCCAGTCATTAACCCTGTTATCATTTTCAACTGGTTCCTATTCATTAAGAGTAGTTCTCCAGTTCTTTTGGGACATGGTCTGCCTATGAAGGCTTTTCCATGTGCCTGTTTTGGGGTGCTTCCCCAATAGTTGATATGTTGTTCCCGAATCCAGTCATTTATAAAACCCCGGACTGTACTTTTTGGTACTCCTGGGTTTGTGTCTGGTTCCGGTGTTTCTTCTGACCCTCTTTTTGCAAGTTCGTCAGCCTTTTCGTTGCCTTCGATCCCTTTGTGACCTGGCACCCAAAATAGTTTTACTCTATTTCGGTCTGCCAGTGTTCTTAGTTCTTCGATGCATTCCCATACCAGCCTCGACCTAACTTTCTGACTCGATATGGCCTTAAGTGCCGCTTGGCTGTCTGACATTATTTAAATATGCTGATTTTCTACAGCTCTTTCATTGTTCGTTTTTACACATTGCAAAATTGCGTATACCTCGGCCTGAAATACCGAAGAATGTATTCCTATAGCATAGCTATGGTTAGTATCAGGGTTTTCGGAGAATACTCCTGCCCCAGTGCCTTCCGCAGTCTGTATACCAGGTTTGTTCCTGTCGTTGGGCATTGGGCTCCCTTATGGTGATATCCGCTCTTTTCTGTATTAAAACCTCAAAGGGAGTATTAAAAGAGTACCTCTTGGTTAAGTGGTCTGATCTCATGTCTAGCACGTCTCCTGTCACTAACCTTGAGATACTCATGTGACCTGGCCTAATGTCAAGATTTCCCAGTGTATTCCCTAATCTGTAAGCACCTAATCTTGCCTCCCATTGTATCACATAGTGAAGAGTTGGGAGTCCTATTAGTGCTTCCATTGCAGCAGTGGGGGTTGTTTTCATTGCCCCCGTTATTCCGAGACAGGCAAGTCTTTGTACTTTGCTAAGCCTCGTTATTGCTTTCCTTTGCTGTGTCTTTGGCCACCACACTAAAGCTGCGTATGTTATTATGGGTCTCACGACCATGTTATAAATCCAATATACCATGTCTGGTTTTAACCCCCATTTTTTCCAAAGGATCGCCTTTCCGTATATTTACTATAAGTAATTCTTTCGCGTCCCTGTCTCCTCGCATTTTCTTTGACCGTTTAGTAGAACACCTACATTTTAGTTTAATTCCCGACACCACAGTTAAACAGTTAATTACCGAGTAAATAGCCAAGTTAATAATTTTTTTCTGCGACCCAAACATACATTTTATTTTAATTCAATTTTGACGTCTGATTGAGACTAGTCGCGAATCATTACCGTCAGTTTTGTTTCTTTTTTTTATTCAGGGTTATATTGACTATCACCACAACTGGGGTGGGCGTTGAAATATTTAATTTCTTTTTTTTTTTGGTTGTAAATAGTTATTCACAATATGTGTCAATGTTAACCTGCCGTATTACTGGTTAATAATTCCCTACTTTATTTCCCCCTTATATTTCAGCTAGTGATAAATTCTGTACCAGCCCAAGCAACGATTAAAGCCCGTTACTTGTGGCATACTATTACCTGTGTCTAAGTGACCTTTGACCCCTGGAATTTGTCATCTCCATCTGTAGCTACCCGAGTACTTTCGACGCCGTTTCGAAAGTTTGTGGAGTAAACCATCATCAAAAATCTGGCGCTCGAGAACCGCCCGTAACCAGCGTCATTCGTAAGGAACCGTTTTCTCTGTGGCGAGAAAACCCCTTACACCATCATGTATTTATTACCATTCTCGGTCATGGGGAATGGTCCAGCAATATTTAAGGCAATCCTCTCAAATGGGCTACCGAGGTTTTACTACTTCATGGGGGCCTTCCTTTTTCGTTGGGGTCCGTTATTCATGACATAGTCCTTTAAATCATCGAAACTGTTCATCCAATAAAACCTTTCACGAACTCTATAAGGTAGAGAATAGTTTACTTCCAGCCAATGTGTCCAAGGTATCGTCGATTCGAGGCAAAGGGTACCTGTCTTTCTTGGTTACATTGTTCAACTGTCGTTTATCCACACAGAACCTCGTAGTTCCACCTTTTTTCTGGACTAAGATCACAGGAGAGACCCATGGGCTGGTAGAAGGGTCTATCACTCTGTCTTCCATCATTTGCTGATCACCAGTAACAATTTTGTGTTTTACAACAGAAGTTGTCTGACGAATTATGGAAGTTACTGGTACACAAGTTTGGATTCTGGTCTCTTTCTTGATTTATCATTAACGATTATAAGACGAATTGGAATCTCTTTAGTAGTCGTGACCAACCCATTTCTGAGCAGAATTCCTCGTCCAACCTCTTCATTACAGTTGTTCCTTCTTCCATAGTTTCTTGAAACCGTGCTACTATAATGGTTTCACTTCTGCCAGGTACCGCCGTATCTTTCTGTACAGCAACTGGCATGGTACTATCCCCATATGGATGTAGGAATAACACTTCGGCACCAACTTTGATCACTCTATTTTTAAAATCCAACTGGAAACCATGTAAGTTCGTTATATTCATTCCTAGTATAACATCTTCGATATCAGCGACAATAACAGTATGAGTGAACTTTTCAGTACCAATTCCTAATTGGACCTGGACACTTTCATCTGTGGCAGTCCGCAGTCACAATCTTGTTGGTAAAAGTTTCTTACGGGTATTTATGATTGTTGGTGGTATAATGGTCCTAGTTGCTCCAGTATCCAACAACAGTGTACACTTTTTACTATTTACTTCGCCGTATACACTATCATCGCGACCTTTCAAATGGGATATTAATGTGAGAGGGTCTTTGGAATGGTTTCGGGTCGAAGCTGCCTGCTTTAGGCTGGCCCGCTCTAGTTTTCCTGCAACGTGTTGTCTTCATTTGGGGGGTTTGCACGAACTGCGTACATATCCCAGTTCACCGCAATTCCAGCACCTTATGGTCTTTGTCTTCATCTTTTTATCAGTAAAGCTCTTCATTATGTTAACCATTTTGTCGAGTTTTTCTTCCACATTTTCTTTTTTAACAGTCCTCACTTTACTGTATCCTTCAGAAGCCTGCGTAGCTGGCTCATACTATAAAGCAGCGGACAAGACATTGACAAATATAGTTAACTTCTGATTTAATAATTGCTTTGTGCTGGGCTCTATATACAGTGTGTGCCCTAAAGTTGGATCCATATGGATTTTTTTTTATTTTATTACGATTGGAAAAAACGTGGTAGGGCAATCACCTTTGCTTATCTAAAAACTTGGTTACTGACAATAATTTTCTGTCAAATTCGAATTAAAAAAAAGTAGAACGATTTTTCAAAAAAAATACCGAATTTGACAAAAATAACTAATGCGGTACCTAGACAACTTTAATATGGACTATTTTAAGTTTAAAAAAAAACAGAGATAAATACTCTACGTTTTTTTCCAATCGTGATAATAAAAAAAAATCCCGTATTATTAGAAATCGAAAATATGACTGACAACTCAGTGTTGCCAACCTTGAAATAAGATTTTTCCCTCCACATATCTTCAAAATTCCCACTTTTATGAAATCCCGGACCTTTGTGAAATTTAAAAAAGTCCTCAGATTTTATACCAGAAATACAAGTTTGTATCATTAATCTTTTAACAATACTTTAAAAATACGTTAAACAATTAATAAATTTTGTTTTATTTTTCAAGATACATTTTTCACATTGTAGATTGGAATAAAAAATTCCCGTTTTTAGTTAACTTTTTCAAATTTTTTTCCCTTTTGGGTTAAAAACTCCCGCAAAACTGGAAATTTCTCTCCGGTTGGCAACACTGTGGCAACTGAAAATTGCGTGTTGACATTATCTGCGTTTAGATAATTTCTGATAACAGCATTATGTGAACCACAACTATCTTGAATATTATAATAATAGATATTATTAAAAATTAAAATGTTCAAAAATATATCTAAGGCAGATATTTATTAATCTAAACATTTTTAACCAAAAAAATCCGATCCGCAATAGTAAAATTAACTGATGATGGTTCAAATTTTCCGAAATTTCACAGGAATTTGTTTCATTTTAG